GGTTTTTGCTCTGGCTCTCAGATGGCAGGCCTAGAAATCCTCCCAGACCCACTCCGCTCCGCTCCTGCCCCCAGTCCAGGCCTGATGCTATCGCGTTCAATTGTTGATGGGAGCAGGGAGATCGAGTGGAGCTGTAGCTGGAGGTAGAGGTCGAGGTGGCACACGATGGGGCATTAAATTGTATTAAAATGCGCAACGCACACACACACTCCTCGCGCCCCCTCAAAGTGCTCCCTGGCGGCGGGCAAACCTTGAATGCCTCGACTAAAAGACGGCATTTATTTTTAGTCGCTTCTCGTGGCCGCCACCCGTGTGCAGGGACATGCCCGAGGAGCGAATGGGGATGGGGCTGGGGGACCGATGTCGGATTCCTGAACAAATGGTATTTTATTTATTTTTATTGGCAAATGTCAACGAGGCGTCGATTCTTTTGTTCGGCAGCTCCTCGGAGTGCCAGCCCGTGCTCTGCGATGGCAATGGAAATCAAATTGGAAAGTTTACTTCCACCCGGGGTCTTTCGGCTTGGTTTACGGCCATCCAAAGGAAATAGTTTCGCTAATGTATTTCGAAATTTTGAAGCAGAAGTGTGAAGCGGAGCGGAGCTCACTGACTGAGCATATCCGACTGACCAAAAGCAATTGAAAACACACAAGAGATGAAGAACATACCATTCTCAATATGGAAACATTAATTGCGATTCTTATTTATAAACCACAAGCAGAATACATATTTACATATGAATGTAAGTACACTTGCACTTACTGGCGAGCCATGGCATGGGTTTCTACTATATTCTATTTCTATTTTACTATAAGGCTAACTAAGGTTAGAAAGACACATATTCTGCACACAAATTTCTCAGTTCTCTAACTCTGGAATTTCTGTGATAGATACGGATGGAATGCACAGAGTTTAAGTGATTTGTGTGTTTGCAGATTTAGTGCCTAGGAAAAGAGTTTAATCAGGAATAAATGCAGAGTAAAAGCTCGAAGATTATTCATTAACGTATTCATGTTATAATATTCAACAAAATTCATTATTCCCATTGTATTTCAGCTCCAGTCCCAGACAAAATGCCGTCGGGCTAAATCAAATGCCAGCCTGAACGAAATCGGGCAGCAAAAATGCGCCATCATGGCCCGGCACAAGAAGAAGAAGAAGAGGAACCGCGGATTGCGATACGCCGACGCTGACGCCGACGTCGCTGTCGCTGTCGCTGACATGGCTGCCTATCGACAGCAGCGGCAGCCATCATGGATGAGAGAGAAAACAGCGTCGCTCCTCCTCGCTCTCGCTCTTGCTCTCGCTCATCGTCTCGTTCTCTCTGGAGCCCCTGAAATAGCTGCCATGCTGCCCGAAACGCTGCCGCTAGCACTCACCTGCGGCGGCGGCTGTTGTGAAGTTCTGTGACGTGACTGAAAAAATGTCGGAGCCAAACCCGGGCCGGGATCGGTATAGAAATCCGAAATGTGACAGCGACAGGGAAAAGGACAATAAAATAGTTGTGCGGGCGAGTGCTCCTGCTCCTGCTCCTGTTGCGGCTGTGACGGCCAACTGCGCCTGCGTCGGGGCCCGGGAATAGGACGGGCGCTGGGCCCGGACCTGGACTCGAATCCCAACAAGGACATTCAGGGGTAAGTACACGAGTAAATGCGCAAATGAGGGTGGAAAAGTATGGCTTCCTTTTTGTTCCACATAGCCAATGCACGAACCACTGTGTGCCTGTCCCCGCTAACACTTCTAATTGGACGAACGAAAGAGGTTTGACAGAAATTGAATCCAATACGAATATCCAAAACATGTTCCATTAAAATGTACGAATCACAGAATTAAATGTACATACATATATATGTACGAAGTCGTTTCAAATATTTGCCTATGAATAAACTTGAGAAGAATGAGATTTATTTTAAACCATTTCTGGCTGGGCGCGCTCTTGCTCACCAACACACTCAAACAAATTCCACTTCTCTTCCACTGCTGTCAGAGTGTGCGTGCGCACTCTCTTAGCTGCTTGCATGTGTTGGTGGTGCTCTTAGCCGACTCTCTTAGCGGCGACTCTCTTAGCTGCCGCCGCTCTTTGGTTGGCTCTCTGCACCTGTTCTCGTGCTCTTTGTTGTGTTCATTGTTTTTGTTTGCGTTGGCTTTCTCTGCACCGCCCCCACCCCATTCAGTCATCGCTTTCTGCTCTTTGCTGCTCCGTCTCTGACTGATGCCATTTGCTTATTGGACGCCGATGCAGTTCCTCGAGCCCCCCACCCCTCCACTGCCATCGGCAACGACATCCCATGGCGCAGCTTGAAATCTTGTTAGAATTTAATGGAATCTCAAAAGTCCTGCGCAAGTTTCGGGCTTTGGGGAAATGCAATTTCCTTTTTTACGATTTTCCTCAGCCAAAGCATCTTTTCCCCTCTTTTTTTGGGTTTGCATTCCCAACTTCTTGGCTTCGCAGTTTTGCTGTGGGCACCACGGAGGGGTGGCAGTGGCAGTGGCAGTGGAGTGGAGTGGAGCATTGCATCAGTGAAAGATATAATAAGTTTTCGCTCACTTGGCAACAAAGTCGGCTGCCGATGCAGATGCATTGTGGGTGGCTTCTACTTCTGCCGTTGCTGATAACAATGATTGGTGCTATCGCGCCACCGAATGCACAACAACAATGTCGAGCAGCCACCAACTGCTGGCAGAGAAGAGGTGTATATGATGCTGATCAGGAATACGCTTCCTTCTGGGCTCTTTGAGTACGGGGGTATAATAGTCCAATTGGACAATTGGAATGGTTCGCGTACCCGCTAAGGGTAGTACGGGTGAATCGAAAAGTAATCGAAATCCATACATGTCCATCCATACATACATATGTATGTAAATATGTACATAGGTAGGCATGTAGGCATGTACATATGTATATGTATATAGACTTATTTAATGCGACTAAAATAAGTAATTTGTGATGATTTGCACACCGATTCGTTACAGCCTCTCAACTTCACCCACATATCAGATCAGATCAGATCTGATCAGATGGGGTGGGCACCATATCTTTTTTCAGTGTGCGTATGCCAGTGTGTGAATCCGTTTGAGTGTGTGTAGAACCCACACATGTGTGGAAATGTTTAAATATATCGCTTTGTTTGTTATTGAAACAATGCGCTTACACATCGAACACATCGAACGCAAACATTCATTTTTTTCGCTTTGTTTACTCATGGCACCTTCGAATACTTCGAGTGCGGATCGGAGAGGTCAAATGTACTCATGACCTTCAGAGCCAGTTGCAGGCTTACAAAATTAATTCGTTTTTATAAATTTGTTACATTTTAAGAATCTGAAATTTAATGGTCGTGTTAGCTCTCGTTTAATTTCCGCTTCAAATATTATTTCTAGCTATTTTCATTTCCAATTGTTATGTGTGTATATGTATACTCTTAAATTATATTAAAGACTAATTACTGTTGCATTTAAAAGCGATAATTAATATTGAATACTGCTTCTGTTCTGTCATTAAAATTTTGCCCAATTGTTTTGCATATGAATGGGGCCAAGATCGGATGTCATTACCCTCCTGATAAAAAAGCGGGGGGAATGCATGCGGTGAAGGTGCAAAGGCAGGGGGCAGGGAGCTGGAAGAATTGTGGCTGAAATCAATCTGCAAGCCGAGCAGAGACGTAAATCAGATGAGCGTTAAGGAGGCAAGGCACAGGAGATGAAGCCACTTGCCGAGATTCCTCAATCCCGTATTGGCAGCTCGCGAATGGGAGGGCGGAGGGGCCAGCCTCGGAGCGGACGTCATAATCGTTCCAGTGACAAGGCATAAAATTTGAGTTTTACGATTTAACTGGGCCATAAAGCAACCAATTAGTGTCAGTGGCAGAGTCTTCCCCAGTGGCAGGCGGGCGGGGGCCGGGGCCGGGGGCGGGGGCAGTGCGTGCAGATTGAATACTCGCCTACGGTTATGAGTGTGAAATTCGTTTAATTGCTTTATGATAATTCTGACAGCTCATTAAAAAAGTCGACGAAATACAAGAAGCTTAACGGTTTGTTGCTTGTTGCTTGTTTTTGGCTCCTGCCTCTGGCTCTGTCTCTGCCCGGGCTGACGAGTATATTGGAGCTGGGATTGCGTTTTCCGTTCAAGTGACTTTTTAAGGAGCTGCCTAATATACGACTTCCCTCACAGCACGCACACAGCCAGATTCAGAAGCAGGCTCTGTCCCTGTCCCTGTTCCTGCCCCTGCCCCTGTTCCTGTCCCTGGCCCTGTGTAGGAGTAATAAAAGTGACGACAGTTTCGTTTTATTTTTTATGACAAAGCGTCGTCTGCGGTCTCCACTTCGTTGCCGCTCTCTAGAGCTGGAGCTGGAGCTGGTGCTGGAGCTCAGGTGTGTCCACAGATCCGTATATGTATGTGCTCCTCACTCTCGCTGGGCAGGTGGATAATTTTTATTGCCGTAAATCACAATGTCAATTGTTGCTGTAATGGCCGTGCCATGGATGGCACCAAAATGGAGACATCGACAGACAGAGAGAAACGCGTACGTACGAGTGTCTCAATTGAGCGAACAACTGAATTAAACAAAACAAATGCGAAACAGACAGCAGACAGCAGACAGAAGACAATGAAACAAATCTGAATCGAACGGCTCCATTGTCGTAAAACTGATTAGGATTGATGGAAAGGTCACAAAATGTAGGGACCGATTGCTCTTCCAGGCACGGGCCTTATCGCAATTAACCGAATCGTATGCAAAATGCATTTGCGGCTCGTTGCAATCGCACACCAGACCCAATTGCAATTGTCCCCCTTGCAGGTCGAATCGCAGCTTCTCTTATCAGCCATCAGCCATCAGTAGTCATTGGCATTGATTGATCAGGCCTGGTCGAGCGAGGCTTGGCCAATCGATTGGGCCGAGGCCAGGCCCGGCCAGAGCAGCTAGGTCCAAGCTGCCGGAGGCGATGTTTATTTGAAAGTCAGTCTTCGTCGGGAGTGTGCGGCGGCCCTCCTCCTCTAATGGTGCTCTCTCCTCGAATAATAAAATGGCTTGTGGCCCGAGCACGAGCCGGAGCCCCAGCAGTGTGCCAGAAATTTCAACCCCAACGGGAGCCCAGCCTGGAGAACAGAAGAGAAGTGCGCTGCGCTGCGCGGCGGTGGGGTGAGTAAACAAAAATGAAGAATGTCCGCTGATTGACATTATCCGGTGCACACGGGGCACATGCAACGCCGATAATGGCACCCATACCCATACCCGACCCACAGTGATTCCCATTAAGGATTTCCGCTGCAGTTCCTTGAGCAGTATCTGAAGTATCTGAAGTAACAGTCACTACTGGCTGGCATGGGTAGCACGGAATCGGGGAAAATGAGGCAGGTTGTTAGGCAATAAACAAGGCGTCCGTCCTCGGGAATGTCAAAATGTTTTTGATGGATTGCTCCGCTCGAGTGTCCAGCAGAGCCCCGTTGACAGCTGCGTCTGCTCCTAGCACGAATATTTCCAACTAAAAAGAGAACGAAGCGAAAAATTATTTAATTTACTTAAAAGCTTCTGCAGCTGGTTCCATTTTCCCCACTTTCCGTTCCGTTTCCCGTTGCATTCCGGTCTCTTCTCTAGTCTTTTTTGACAAAATAAAATATTTAAGCGCAGAGGGAAAAACAAAATCGAAGCAAAGGAACGAAACTGGAAATATATTTCGCAGTATGTGTGTATCTTGTGTATATATGTACATATGTGCGTGTGTGCGTGCTTGTGTATCTGTATCTGTATCTGGGAAATGTCTAAAAGCGTTTCTACTTTCAGCTCTCGTTTCTGTTTTTGGCACTCTGCCTGCAGCTTATTTTTGTTGTTTTTCCCATTTTATATTCTTTGATTCCGTCTAGTTTTCAATTTCATTCCTCCACATTGCCCACAGAAGCAGAAACAACGTATCATCATTATTATCAGAATCATCATCATCATCATCAACACGGTCGCCCATTGTTTTTTTCTTATATTGTTTTTCATGCCATTTTTCGTTCCATTTCCCTTCCCCTACACTTAGAACAAAAAAACGTTATAATGAATTTGATACCTAGGTATATATGTAGTAGCTACTATTTGGTATGATATTTGCCAATTGATATTTTTGAGCTTTAATTTAGACCCTTTTTTTTTAAATATTAAAAATCAAGAACATTTTTGGTCGAGTGTAGACACACCTTCTCACTCATTCTCGCCTCGTACTGGCACTCGTCTCTTTCGCATTTTCGTTTCGCATCATAATTTTCCGTTCGCCGTACGACGGCGACAACAAAGGAACACCATTGAAAATCACGTTCCTCCGGATGGATCCACTTGGGTGGGGTACGAGTTCGAGGCCCAGAGAAGAACTGCAAATTTCCTTGGCTGCTCCTCCCAGCCCCAAACTCAGCAGGCCGAAACGCCCACATAGTTCGTGTCCCGTATTTAGTGCGGACCCTCTGTGTGGGTCTCCAAGGTTCCATTTCCCTCGGGGACTTTTCAAATGTGCCGTAAGCAAAGCACGCGCCGATGAACGTTGAAAGAAAGGGCAGAAGAAGCAGGAGCAGGAGCAGGCATGGAAAGTCACATCCAAGTTTGGGAATACGTGTTTCTGGCTTTTTTCTGGGCTCATCGATTTCATTTATTGACCATCAGGTTAGCGTAGCAACTAACGTTGATCTGCCAGAGGTGAATCGCTTCGAGACCCACAAATAAATCAATCCCAATATGGCTTTCAGTATTTAAAAATCCGTAGATACTCGGAGCATTGCTCGGCACAGTACTAGTCGAAGTTTGTATACTCTAAAACGACTGATTGGTTCCTAGAGTAAAGGAAATACACGAACAAATATTTGATGGCTTCAATTTCTGATTGCGGGGAACTGGAGGGAACTTAAACGAAATTATACCGAGTGACATGTAGGGCAATGCAATAAAACATAAACAGATTGGAGTCCCGCCATCAATTAAATGGCGTAGTAATAGTTTGACAAATTGGAGCGTGCCAGGTGAACTGAGTTGAAAGAGCTCTCAGGAACAGCCACTGAGGCGATAAGGAACTATATTCAATTGTTGCTGTGGGGAGGAATGTTCCACTATCTCAGTGAGGCCAACGCAAAGCCACCGATTCAGTTTTGTTTTAGAATATAAAATAATCTAGTCGGGACTTAGTAAGAGAGCAAATGTTTAGCCATGGGGAAATTATGACTGATGTGGATGTGGATGCCAGAGTGGAGTGGAGTGAAGATGGAGATGGAGTTGGGAGAACCCACGGGCCCGAGCTCAGGGTTCAATTTGTCTGAGCGGCTGCTTATCTGGTATAAAAGCAAGTGAGGCAGCAACCGGAGAATGCCAAGCGCAGCATTGCAACACCGGCCCCCTTCCCCTCGGGGGGATTCGTGGCTGCCATAAGCCGATGATGATGAAGCCGACTGGGTCGCCATATTATGGCCCTTCCCCCCGCGTTGCATTTTTCCCTCGTCAGCAGCCATAGCGACTCGCACTCACACAACCTCGGGAACACACCGATACACCCATACAGCCACACAGCTGCCACATGTGCGATGTGCGATGTGCTGTTGCCATATCTATCGCCATATGGCGCGGCATCCACTGAGAACTTTTAAAGTGGCCTCATGTACGAGAGTTTTCATCGGCGGAAAAGCGAGAGGTTTCCCGGGCTCGTCGCAATGCGAAAACTGGCACATGCGCAGAGCCAATGTGGGGCCGAAAGGCGACGTGGGGAGCTGAATTGGCGGTGGTTGGAGTGCGGACGTGGTGGCAGCAGGGGCACAAGCCACACGCGAGGCCTGATAGAAGCTAAACTTCAACTTCACCTGAAATGCTACAAAATGCTACATATATTTTAACAGTTCCCAAAACCTACCTCCAAGCTGCAATTGCATCGATGTGGGCTGCCTTTTATGGTCTGCTGAGTGTTATTATCCGTCGAAGATTTTGCCGAAAAGGTACGATCTGATTCCGATTTCCAGTACCAATTTAGATGACATTAGAACAGGGAGCAAAATACTTTAATTTCGATAAGTTTTAAGTGCTCAACAATTTAGTTTGGCTCGCGAAAGAAAGTCACTCGTTTTTTGCAGCAATAACGCGAATAAAATATTTAAAATTATTGACAAAACTCGTTCCTTCGTGCCATCGATAGGGAATTTATTCGCCAAAGCCGAGCCGCTTACCGTAAATTGCAATTTATGCCCAGCGGCAAGCCAAGTCCCCCTCCAGCCAGTGCTCCTCCTTCTCTGTTCGGCATGGAAAAACCCGTTCCGCAGCGCATCCGAGGCCCCTGAGCAGGGCCCGAAACGGAGGCTCCATTTCAATTTGAATTAAGTAATCATAACTAATAATTGTGCGCCGTCCACTGCATCGGCATCTGCATCTGTTATTTTTGGGTTCGTTGATCCATGGGAATGGCGGCCATGCGCCGCCATGCGCCGCCATCGAGAGTGCCCCCCATTCGCATTTGGTTTCCATAACTTTAACGACTCTCCATCTCCGCACTGGCTCTCTAGTCGATTGGACATCGCACTCGAATATGGTCAACTGGGGAACTACTAGCCGATGGGCGTATGAAGTGCATCTAATTGTCATGGCAGACAGTCCGAGTCCGAGTCGTCGGGGAGTGGAATCCGTGCAGCTGAAGCAGATTGCTTTACGAGGGCAAATATTTGTGCTGCCTGTCGGCATGTGGCACCCCAACCCGTTCGAAAAATGAATACATATAGAAAATTGCAATTTATATGGCTGCCATAAACAGGGGCTGGGATGCGTCGCTTTCACTTTTCCCGGAACGTTAGAGACGCTTCATTTTTTGACCAAACTCCCTGTCTTTTTTCCGATTTACGGTTTAATTGCATTCAGAGCGAAGCAGACGCAGGTCACAGCAGAAACACATTCCCGCTCCTGAACCCTTTCTGGCACAGCCGGAGATCACCGTCGGACGCCGACGTTCCATTTCCGCAGCGGGCGAAGACAGCGTCGTGCGATCCTCAGTGGTCGGCAGACTGAGAACCTTTATTGAGACTGACAACCAATAAAAACCATATTTTCCTTGAAGCGGGAAATGCACCAGTATTTGGAATAGTTTTTACTCCAGCTAAGATTGCTGCCCAAAGGGTTTCTCCATTCAGAAGTTTTTATAGTTAAATATTTAGCATAAATAAATGGAGCCCAATGGCCTTGTTCCTCAAACCAAATGCTAGAAACACACAGAAACGCAGAAACATGGATATTGAACAGTCTGAAATGAGCTTCTCCCTTGTATCCAGCGCATTTCAAGTGACACCTCCGTCTCGTTCGGCCAATTAAAGTGGTTCCATTGGAGTTTGCCTCGGAGCTTCTTCGTGACCCTCGTTACGATACCATCGAGCATGCGAGAGCATACATAAATAAATCGGAACACGAGTAAATACTTACAGCAAATCAACACGAGGAGTGCGGCGGGAAGACATGGGGAAACGTTTTAGTTTTCCATTTGGCCGCGCGGCTCCAGTCGTCGGAAAATGGAAAATATTAATGAGCAAAAGTTTCTCCTCCGGAGTAGACCTTTTATGGGATTTCTATACGGACAGACAGACAGACAAACGCGCTAGTTAGCCTCCACTTTGGTATGGACATGTTTGTCATTTACAAGTTGCGCTGCCAATTACTCTGAGGACCACGAAGCACTCCAAAGAGATGGCAGGCTCTGCCACAGTCCCCATGCCCATGCCCATGCCCAAGCCCAGGCCCAGGCCCAGACGCATGCCTCTGGCTGCTCATTATGAAAATGAAAGCAGTTTCTTTTGGCAGACGGACGGGGAACGGGGAACGGTAGCCGGAGAGGAGAGGAGGAGAATACTTGTACTTGTACTTGACTAGAATTTATGCACACAAGCATATTCCATTGGGGAATTCGAATCGAGGTCGGGCGAGCTCTTTCTGTCTGCCTGTTTGTCCATCGAACAAGGAAACTAAAAAGTTTTGCAAAAAGCATCACATGAGAATGGGAGGAAAAAAAATGATGACGCCCTCGACGGTGACCAGGGACCGGGGACCAGGGCGGATGATGCTCGCCTGTGGCAGAGAAAACAAATAGACAAACAAGCAGCAACCACTCGACGAGAGGACGGTACTACAGTGGGCGGAAAATGGCGAACGGGTGGAGCAGAAGCAGAAGCAGTAACAGTGGCACTGCCGGTGCCAGTGGCAGGGGTGTAAAGGGCCACACGACCTATACATATGAGCATAAAATAGGGCTCGAGCTGGGACTGGTACTGGGACTGGGACTGAGGCGGGGGACTGTATGTGAATGAAGGAAGCATCGATGTTGGGATAATCGAATGAGCGACGGGTAATGGGGCGCATGGAAGACCCACAACTGGACCCCATGGAATATGAATGCATCTCGAGCATCTTCCCGCTTCTACGTATGTCAATATGTGTGTGCGGCCTCTGTGGGAATACGCCCACAAGTATCTTGTGATGCGTGAGCAGGGCCACCGGCGACCCAGTCCCCTGGAAACAACTATGAATTTATTGTACGAGTATTTCTGCTTTCTGCAAACACGAAAGCGCACTTTCCGAGGTAATGGGTTGGGTTGGGTTGGGTGGGGTCTGGGCGCTGGTCGCTGGGCCGAAATGAATTGAAATAAAATGATAAGCGTGAAATAATAATGAGGAGCGTGATCCGGCATAAATCGGCTCGCTCACATGACACTCTTCCACGTCCAATGAACACAAGAGCTGGGTCCGGATCCGGTCATTCGTGCTATGTAATCCATGTAATCGGCTGTGAAAAGTGTTTTGCATGTGAGGATGAGGATTAGGTTGAGCCAAAAAAATGTTTGTTTGAAATTTAAACGGGACACCCCTTAATTTTGTTATCTTGGGTTTAATAGTAATATTAAAGTTTTTATTTTTATTTAAACACATTTTTTAGAGATTACTACCAAATTAAAAAAAAAAAATGTATGCAAGAATATTAAAAAAACAATTTTTTTGAACGAGTTGGATAATTGATACTATTAATATCTTGATTAATCAGTTATTGGCAGTAAAAAACCTGCACAAGTTTTTGCGAACTAGTTAAGTAAATATTCAACCTCAGCTCAGCTTCCTGATTTTAATAAATCGCTAATTTTTAAAAAGTAACTAAAAAACAAAATAACAATAACTAACTATCAATATGAACTAGTTTCTAAGTTTCAATATTATTTGAAAAAACCGACGAATTCAATATTTTTAGTGTATATTAGACAAAACGAGAAGGAACGTGTGAGTCGCTTCTGGGGACGCGACTCTACTTATACCCGTACTCAGTCAGCATATACATTTTTGAGCATATAATTATTTAGAATTAAAAAAAAAAAAAATTTTACATTTTACATTTTTTTGCTACATCTGTTATCTACATCTACATATACTATTTATATTATACATCTAACATGTATATTCTACATGTACCATTTAGATTCTACATCTCCTCCGCTAGGGGTTGCTCGCGCACTGAACGCGGCAGAGTGTGCGAGCGAGAAGGAAAATGAGTTGCGTTGTCGTTGGCAGGAGGGGGCAGGGGAAGCAACTGAAAATTAATTTCGCCACTCTGGCTATAATTATGATCCGATTTGATTCAGATTCGGCAGTCTGGTAGATATGGATATTCTCTGCGATACTGCGTTTTTAGTTTTATCGTATCTTAAAAATTGTGCCTGCCACAGATTTTCGTTCTTTGTTGTGGCGGAAGGGGGCGGGGTGAAATTTTGAAATACACTTGTAGCAGTGTGATATCACATGAGTCTGGAAACCAAATTTGGTTACCCTAACTCTTATAGTCTCTGAGATCCAGGCGCTCAACAAGAAGGACAGACGGACGGACGGACGGACGGACGGACGGACAGACAGACATGGCTATATCGACTCGGCTATTGATGCTGATCAAGAATATATATACTTTATGGGGTCGAAAACGTTTCCTTCTCTGCGTTACACACATCCACTTTTACCACAAATCTAATATACCCCTTACCTCTTTTTTGAGTACGGGTATAAAAAAAACGTGTATTTTCTTTGCGGCGTAGCAGCCCACAAACATTAAACTAAAAATTTGAAAAAAATTTTATAGTTTTATTTACTAACAAAGAACAGAACAAGGGCGTGTCCGCTTGAAAAAACAAAAACAAAATTTGATCAAATTTTGGCCCAGCCTAATGAGGATGCTTATGCTTTCCTATATGGAAATTAAAATAATAAAATAAAATATTTACTCACATTTCGCATATCGATCAATTTATTTTTGATTTGATTTAATTAAACATCATTTATTTGTTTTCCATCTCGTTTCAGTTGGATTCCTCTTCGACCCCTGGGGCGAGGATGTCGCCAGGCTGCAGCTGTTCCAGGTGAGTCTCCATCTCATATATTTGGATACATTTATGCTGAATAAAGGTAATAATAATGCCCCATATGGCATATAGCAACTGCCGAGCTGTCCAATTGAATCGAGCCGCAGGTGCAACTGGGGAGAGACTCGAGTCGCGGCTTTGTTGTGCCAGTAGATCCCTGAAACGCGCAACTTTCGCACGCCTGCTTCGATTTTTATTTGCAAACATGATTTTTGCTAAATTACTTTCCCAAACGAGGCGGAGGCCCACAGCATGTGTAGATGTGTGTGCGGCATATGAAATAGTTGAGACCCAATGTTGTACCTTTTGCCATTTATTTTGCACACCCTCCCCCTCACCCTACCGAGCCCAGACCCAGTGCGCCGAAGGCTGCCTCGATATGAAAAAAAGGCAAAAGTTGATCAAATAAATGGCGAAATTTCCATATTCCAGCGATAAGAACAGAAACGTGTAGCTCAAAGATTTCCATCAAATCGAATCGGAACAGGGCGGGACGGTACGGGACGGGACGGGAAAGGGCAGAGAAATCGCCTGCCCGGGCGACCGAGTAACAAGTTGTGCGAATCTCTATCTGAGGGTGGTGGGAGGTCCTTCGCTGGCTGTCCTGCAGGAATGGGATGGGGTTGCTGCACGGCCAGGTACAACCCCCGTCGTCGCTTAGCTAAGTAAATGGGTTGGCCGACGAACGTGACTCGCCCTGCCCTGCCCTGCCCCTGCCCTGCCAAGCATCGCCCTGCCCCGATAATGTAGAGCACATGTCTCCTTCGCCGGAGTTACTGCTGCACCATGGCACATCAAATGAACTTTTCCTAAAAGCAACCTTTAAATAAAAAAGAAAATGCTTGCATAGCAATTGATTAACTTCGTTGGATCGGATCGAGGTTTAAGATGTTGTTAATACATGATGAATGGGATCGGATCTATCTTGTTTGTTAAATTTAGAATACAAACTGGTCTAAGTATATGGGAATTTAAAGCTCTGATATATACATACGTTCCCTTTTGTTGTTATCTTTACTACAACAAATCTCTTAAATCTCAGAGAAAACCCTCGATAGATTGTAAATATTCATCCGATCTTTCGCAGTGTTCATATGTTGAAGAAGCTTGGCAGCCGTCGAGTTCGAGCTCTCAGCTCTGTCAGCATTTCGTTCCACTGTGCGTTGACATCGCAAATCTTGCGAGGAAGCTGAGCAAAGCCAGTCACGATTCCGAACTAATGAGGAATACACGTAATTACATGTGGTTACACAATATCAGAAACCCAGCTTCATCTCCAGCTCCAGCTCAGCCCTCTTACTATGCTGCCCTACCACTCACTCCCCCATCGCTGGGCTCTGCTGGAATCAATGCCCAGAGACAACCCCAGAAATTTAATAAACACGCAAGTGCACGGAAGTGAATTATCCCGTCAGTCAATTATGTAAGTCGCTCCGCCTCCGCCTCCCCTCCACTTTCCCTCCACTAAGACGTATTTCTTCTGTGGTCGGACTGCCTCTGCCTCTACCTTCTTTGCCTTTGCCTTTGCCCCCTCTGGGGCATGGGGCTGATGTCTTTAGACGGCACATAAATACCTCGTTTATTTGCCTGACTTTTGCCCGTGTGCGGCTCTTGTTCTCGTTTCATTAAGCGCTCTCCACACTCGCTTCAATTGGTTGCTTTATTTGTGGCTTCACTTTGCCAGCCTTTTGTGCCTTTTAATTAAATGTCTTCGCCCCTCTTCATCGAAGCCAAAACCCAATTAAATAGTCCGCAGATCGTTAAGCAGGAGTGAGTTCTGTCGCTGTCTCTGTATTGATCAGTTAACGGAAGGTAAACGTATATTGCGCGAATATATATTCGTATATATTCGTATATATTCGTATATATTCGTATATATTGCATGTAATAAAACTGCAGTCGAAGCAGGTGGAATTTCCAATGGAATCGCTCAATGAACGCTCCAAACTATCGTAAAGAGAATTAATTTGACGAAAATAAGTTTTCAGTGCTATTTAAATTTCTCGCAATTGTCTTGCCTGCCTGTTTGTGGCCTGGCAATTCGTTCTTGTATTTAATCTGGAGTTCATACAACAAATTTATTGAAGCAACATCGACGAAGGTTTTTGGCTCTATCTATCTTCTTGCTGGGCATGTCTGAGCAGCTGTAAATAAGTAATGAAATTACGTCTGTACTAGACGAGTTCATGTAAGTGGCTGGGCAGGTGGGCAGGTGACGCTGTAAGGTCCGCCGGGGCAGATGTGGGGGGAACTTCATTTGAAATTTATATCAGCGCTGCGTGGCGCAAAATTCCAATTGCCCGGCGAAGTTGAATTAATTCAACTAATTTCTTGGATACATTTGCATGGAAGCAGCCATCCACTCCGTCGCTGCCGTGCCGTTCCCGCTTCGAGTGGCTTGATTACATTAAGGATGCGCAATTAGAAAGGCCCCGCAGCCTCCCGCAGACAGTGACAGTACAGGCCATGACCGTAGGCTCGCAGGGAGATGGCAAGGGTGGCCAGAACTCAATTTCATTAAGTGCCAGAAGGTGCTGCCCATTTCGAGCCTTCCCCACGGCACCTTCCCAGGCTGCGGGGATTATTAAAAGAGTTTACTCTCCAGTGGATTATGAAGGACCACCAGGGGCAGGGGAGAGGTGAGTGAAAACATGAAAAATGAGTTCATGTTCTACGGCCCGCCACTCGTAGAAGAAAAATACCTCGGCATCCCAAAGTAGCGGTGGGAGAATTTTGTCCGATTCCCGTTTGATTTATTTGCGTCAGAATGCCGGAGGCCACGGCTAATGAAACGTGTGGGGGAGCACGGCAGCAGCCGCGCCAACAGTGGAGCAATATCAACAAAAACAGAATCAGTTGAGCCGCAAGTCGCGAACAGACATAAACAGCTGCGCCCCGAACGGGTGCGAGTTGAATGGAGTGGTGGGGGTGGCATTGGGGGTGGGTGGGCGCTGCATATTTCTGGCCTGCCACTGCCACGGACAAGACAAGGCCCGTAATGGTAATGGCTTCGCACCTCCGCATGAATGTGTAAGGGTACGTTCATATGTGGGAGAATGTACGAATAGGTGCCGCAATCACAGCCCAGCCCAGCCCAGTCCCAGACGGAGTCTCACGTGGCAACAGCAATGAGCAACCACCGCAAGTCGGAGATAGCCTAGCATAGCCTGTCCCGCTCTCTCCGCCAGGAGTGAGCGCACACGTTGCGTCCTTGTCGCGCACACGCACACACAGGTAGCGCTCTCGGGCTGGTGGCGGCCATTGAAACTGGCAGCCATAGCCATATCCCCTGCCCCATGGAACCAAACATGCCACGACCAACTCGAACTCGAACTCAACTGCGCAAGCAGCGCCCCTCACACCACAGAGGCAGAGATTGACTTGAGCCCGAATCGAGGCAAACAGAAAATCTGTTCATGTCTTCTGCTGTTGTTGGAATTAAATGTTGTTCGGACCCATTTGTGAACCTGCCTCAGTGGGGCACGGCAAATATGAAAAAACAAGAATGTATGTGATACCCGGTAATCGGGGGAGTATGCAGCCATCTTTAATGGTATCCGAATGTCGAGTTGTCATGAGTCGAGTTGATGAGTAATAAATATTAATCTTTTGAATGAAATATGTATGTTAGTCCCGTAGTGGATGATTCCACAAGTGGAAGATCCCTCCCGACAGTATTCACAGCTCAATGCTGATCCAGAATGAATGGAATTTAGTGGGTCCCCTCCGTTTGGCTGTTAATTAATAATATTTTGAGTTCGCAAAAACAGTATACCCTTGTCCTCTCCGGGTACGGGGTATAGAAACTCAAATTGTTTGTGTTTCAGTGCTGCATACAATTCTGGGTGACTGTGTGGGGGAGGTGGGAGTGCGGGAGTGTGGGTGTCGGCCTGACTCATAGAGCAGTGTTGTTTGTGTGTCTGCGTGGCGGAGAACATTTACTTACATTTTTTAATGCACCCAATAAAGAAAACAAAGCGCAAACAAGTTCTTTCATTTTATTTTTATTTTTATTTTTAAACTCAAGTTTATTTATTTTTAAGTGGCCACAACGTAGATGGCAGATATTTCTTGAATGGAGAATATGTTTACTATCTACTACTACTGTTTCTCATATGTATTATGTATATATGTATATTAATATATCCCCAACGAATGTGGACTTGGATTTTTGTAGTATTAATCATTTACGAGTTTTTCGCTCATCTCTTAATCAACGAAAAGTGAGCTGTTCCCAGGACAGCCCCAACCGCTGCCAAGGGGCCATGAAATATGATTGATGACCCTTGTTGCAGCGGCAATTATGTTGCGGTTGCGGTTGCGGTGCTGCACCGTAATGTCTGCCAATCTTCGAGCGAGGGGAGATTAAGATTAGAATAGAACAATAAATGGCAGGGAGTCGTGCATTGAACCCAGCCTTTTGTGGCCACGACTCTGAGGAGGATGCCGACCGAGGTGGAATATAAATGACCGCATTTAGAGCTCCCGTCGGCATTGAGGGATGAGCAAACTTTTTTAAAAATTTATATTATTTCTGAGTAGTTGCGGGCACCAACTATGAACTATGAACTTTCCGCCGCCCATCCCCCAGCTGTCCCTCCACTCTGCGATGCTGCGTGGCTTAGTGCGCGCGACGAACTTTGGGGAGCAATCGTGGAGTGTTATCATGGGGGATTTATGCCAAATGATGGCAGATTGCCAAGCTGCAACTACACACAAGCTGCGCTGTGGCAGAGAGGTGGTCCAAGGGGGTGGGGATAGATTGGGATTCAAATGGATCTGGGATACGACGACTGGGCAGGCAACGCGGGGCAACGCGGGGCAACGCGGTTCCTAGAGTGCGAGTGTCTGTCTGTCTGTCTGTCTCGTTTCTGGCTACTTTTATTTTCGTTTATTTTTCTCTCCTTCTCGCTTGTTTTTTACAATTTTCTCTCGAGTATAATGGATAGAAAAAGTTGTGCCATCCCCGAGACGGCAGGAATCAGCACAGCACAGTG